TACACGTAGATGAATCCACGCAGTGCGCGAGCGTCCGAGTCACGGCGCTGGTCTCGCGGCATGGGGTGCCGCATTCATTTGCGTGGTTGGGCGCGCACATCCCTTTGTAGACTCCCTAGCGTACGCGTGCTCGCCGATCCTGATCGGAGCGGTGGCGGTCGGCTGACGTCGCTCAAGGGAAAGGGCCTCCAGCGGCGTCCAGCGGCGGCGTCCGCGGCGCCACCGCGCGCGGATGGCAGAGGACTTGGCGGACTACGGCTTGAGGGAGGCCTTTGGCGCGGGGTCGGGGGAGTGGAAGCCTTCGGGCGGCGGCGGCGGTCGGTTCCAGTCGCTCCGCGCGGGCAGCAGGGCTGCTCGGGGGGGTAGGGGGAAGGAGGAGGAGGAGGAGGAGGAGCAGGAGAAGGAGGAGGAAACCGGGAGGAGGAGGAGGAGGAGGAGGAGGAGGAAAAAGGAAGAAGGAGGTAGTGAGGAGAGGGGGAGGAGGGGAAGCAGGAGGAGGGGGGACAAGGAGGGAGGATGAGGAAATCATGAGAGGAGGAGGAGGAGGAGGAGGAGGGAAAGCAGGACGGGGGAACGGAAATGGCGTATGTTGGGTGGCTGCGGGTATGTTGTGTGGCGCCACGTGGGGTTTTGCTGAGGTTACGCCACGCTGCCGCCTGTGCCGCTCCCTGGGCGCCTCGCGGGCGCCCCACGCTCGAAGGTATGCCGACGTTGCGCCGCGTCGCCGCCCGTGCTGCTGCGAAGGCGCCTCGTGGGCTCCCCGTTGATCTGAGCTTGCAGAAAATGTGGCGTTCGCCACATAGCTGACCCGGCACAGCTTAGACCACATAGCCTATACAGTATAGCTCACAGCACATCGCGCACACCTCAGAGTCACGTCACGACGCCACGACGAGGAGTAGGATGGACAGACGAAGGAGGCGGCGAATGAGGAGAGGAGGGGGACAAGAGGTGAGGTGATGAGGAGGGATGGAGGAGGAGAGTGACGATGATTACCGATAACCTATTCTGTTTCGTTGTCTCCTCCCTATTCGTGCATCCTGCAACCCTTCCCTTCTGGGAGCGTCCGACGACAACCGCAAACATTTTAAATAACACCCCCTGGAAATACCAGCAAGCCCAGGCAAGCTCCGGAGCCATGGAACCAATCTCACACCCAGCCCGTGTCTCCTCCTCCATCCATCATTCGTCCCTCCTGATGCCGTCTTCTCCCTGTTCCCTCCGCCCCTCCCTACTCCATCCCTCCCCCCAACCCCGAAAGCCTCCATAGGCCATCGGCCAAAAGAGGACCGACCAACACATACCCAACAACACACACACACCAAAACAATGAAGACCAGACCCAGACGGAAGGTTTTTCTTTATTTTTGGCCTCGGGGGGCCCTCGCCGGGCCTCGGGACCGTCAAAAAACGACTCGGGAGGCAAAACCGGCCCCAGGGAAGGGGTCGGGACTTCCGGGGACGCCGTCTTGAAGAAATCAGGGCGTCGCAATGTCTGGGCAGACCTGTCGCAACGGGCGCGGCGCCTGGCCCGGCAGGTCCGGGAAGGGGCCCGGCAGGGCGTTGCGCGGTGGGCTGGGCGCGAGGAGGGCGGCGGTGCGGAAAAGTGCACGTCGTGTAAAACGACGCGAAGATCTGGAGGACGTATTGGGCGCCGCGGCCGCTCCAGAGCGTTCCGGAACGCTCTGAGAGCGCTCCGGAACGCTCTGGAGCGCTTTATCCCGATCCTAGCCCTGTTTTATCGTGTGCCTGGAGGGGGGCCCTCTGGGGCCTTGCCGGAACGTGCAGCGCGTTCCGGGGGGCCTTTTTTTGAAGTGCTGTCCAATGCCTGTGCCGTCAGGCTCTCCAGGAGCTGCTGCCCAGAGCTTCCGGAGCTCCTTCGCAGGACGTTCCACATGCTTCTGTCAGCTTCGCCTCGCGATCTGGGTTTGGGACACCACCAGGGCACCTCTTGTACCTTGCATCAAGAGAGGAAAAACCACCCGGACCCGACAATTCGGCGTTTACTCAACCACCCTGGGCGTTTACCAAACAGCCCTGCCCTGTTCGATTCCGTCTGTGGGTGCGTTTGCTAAGTGACTTCGCGTGCCGGGGTGATCATCGTGGGGGTGGATTGTTTGCCCCCTGTTGCAGGGAGCCCAAAAAGGAGGCGCGAGAGGTGCACGTCTCTCCCCATGCCGCCCTTCATGCATCGCCCCCCCGTTGAGCCGCGCCCCGCCGGGAAGAGGGCGGCTGGGCCCAGAACGTGCCAGGGCGCCCTCCGAGCACGCCCAGGAGCACTCTGGGGCCGGCCGCGGTGCCCGACGCGCGCCCTGGACCTGCGGGCCCTCCCGAGAGCTCCCCGACCTGTGGCGAAGGGGCGCCCGCTCGACTCCGAGAGGGCGCCGGCGCACGGGACACCGAGCGCCGCCTGGAGCTTCTGTTGCGAAGGCCTTGTTGCGGCCGCCGCCGCCGCCGCCGCCGACGCCGACGCCGACGCCGACGCCGTCGCCGACGCCGACGCCGACGCCGACGCCGACGCCGACGCCGACGCCGACGCCGGCGGCGGCGGCGGCGGCGACGACGGCGACAACGAAAAACAGCCAAGAGCTTGCCGCGCGGAGCTCACATTTCGCGCGGAGGCGCGAGGAGCGGAGCACGTGCAGGAGAGCGAGCTCCAGGTGAGCGAAGTCGAGCAAGCTTTAGGTTGAGCATGTCCGCCTGCAGGATGGACGATTTTTTTATTGAGTGACCATTTCTGAGCATTGTTTGGTCATTTCCAAAATCTGCCTGTAGGATGACATGCCCGACTGAAAGCTAGCTCCAGGCGATCGACTCCGAGCAGGTCTCCAGAGGCCCCAAAACGTCAGGACACGAACGCAGTGCGCTCTCCTTCCGATCCCCCCAGCCCCAGACGCCGACGTCAGCTCTGCAACACAATCTGAGCGACGCCACAAAACGCGGTCGTCGTCTCGACCGACATGGGCGCATCGGCTGCCCGCACAAGGTCGGGCGTGAGCGCCCTCGTCGCCAACGTAGCGTGCCGCGCTGGCGGCCCGCGTAAGCTACAGCGCGAGCTCGCCGTGTCCCTGGCATCGCTCGGACGTGTGCATTTTTCCTCCAGCGAGGACCATCGAGGAGCGTCCTTGATCATTTGGCGAAACAGACCACGCCCAAAACCGAAAAAAAACACGGGGAAGGGACGTCCGAGCGATGGCGAGTGTCATCTCTCGTAGCAGCCCGTTTCTTTCCGTCGCGCGGGTGAGGGTCGGCCCACCAGACGAACGAGCACGGAAGGCGATGTTCCATTCGAGCCATGCTGGGAAGAGGAGGACCCCCTTCGCAGCCCCTCTCCTCGGGCGACGCAGTCTGTATTCGACCCCCCTCCTCCTCCTCCTCCTCCTCGGGCGACGCAGTGTATATTCGCCCCCCCCCCTCGCCCTCCAGTCTAGAGCTCGTCGCCCTACCCTGTCGTCCTCGCCCCGGCGTTCCTCTGGCCCTCCCTCCTCGGCCGCATCCCCCTCGCACCCCCCCCTCGCCCCCCAGCGCAGTGGAGGCCCATGCCAAGAGACGCTCTGCTTGCCTCCAGGGTGCCCTGGGTGTCTTGGGTTTCGATGGCTTTGCCATGGACAGCGTCACGTTCTCACACTAAAAACCGATGGACGCCCTTGGGTCTCAGGGTTGGGTTTCTCGTGGAAGGTTTCTTGTGGACTGGCCTCCACTGTGTGGATCTCGTCGCCCTGCCCGCCCCCTCCTCCTACTCCCTCCTCCCTCCTCCCTCCTCCCTCATCCTCCTCCCTCATCCTCATCCTCCTCCTCCTCCTCCTCCTCCTCCTCCTCCTCCTCCTCCTCCTCCTCTGCGCCTCCCCCTCCATCCGCCCTCGCAGCGGCCTCCCCCCCCCACCTGCCCTCTGCCCGCGAGCCAGCCCCAGGACCTCCGACGCCGCGCCTCTTGCCGCCGCGGCGCGGCCCCTCCCAGAGGTCACGCGGCTGCCTTTAAGTCGGGCATGCCCCTCTGCAGGAGGAAGATTCAAGAATAGGGGGAACATGTGATGGTAATGATTTTTGTTTTCGCTCGTCCGACTATGGCAAACGTTTGACTGCTCCTTATTTTTCTTTCTTTTTTTAATTAAATATTATCATACATCTAAAAAAAAACCTGTAGAAGGACACCCCGACCTAAGCTGCCTGGGGGGGGGGATCCGGGTTTTGGGTGGGATCCTGATGCTTTTTTGGAGGGGGGGGGGACCGGGCTTTCTTAGGCTCCAGGGGGGGCTCCCCGCGCCCACGACTGGACTCCACTCGAGGTGCGGACCCGAACGCTGCTGCAGCCGGTCGGGCCGGACGACAGGGTAGGATGACGAAGTCTGCTGCATGCAGCCGCTTTCGGCCCCGCCGCGGGGCCAGCTCCTCGACACACAATGGTCGGGGGTGGACAGAACCCCTAATAGTGACACGTCGATTAGTGAATCGTTCGTTTTCGGTTATCGAGCGGGCGCCGCGGCCGTCATTTTCCAGGCTTGCGCCCGCCAGGTTTGGGCCCGAGGTCGTTTTCACTAAACCACGTTTTACTAAAGGGGGGTCTGTCCATCCCCGAAATGGGCGCCAAGAGGCGCCAGGAAAACCAGCGCTTGGGCCGATGCTCTACCTGCCCCTGTCGTCCCCCTTTTCGTGCCTGCGGCCTGCTAGCCGTCCGCGCTGCCTTCCTTCGTGCCTTCCCCTTTCGCACCTTCCCCGGCGGACCTTCCCTTTTCGTACCTCTCCCCCTTTCTGAGCGCCTTCGCCTCTGCTACCCTGCCCTCTCGCGCCCCCCCCCCGCCCCCGAGAGGAGCGCCTCGCCCCCCCCCCCCCGGGAGGCCAGGCTCCCGCCGCTGCCCCCCCGCCCCCCCGCCCCCCTCCTCCTCCTCCTCCTCCTCCTCCTCCTCCTCCTCCTCCTCCTCCTCCTCCTCCTCCTCCTCCTCCTCCTCCTCCTCCTCCTCCTCCTCGGGTCGCCTACGGCCCGCCCGCCCCGCTCCCCGCAGGCGCGGGAGGCCCGCAGGGAGTGGGCGGACTTCACCGACCGCTGCTGGCTGTACGCCGGGGCCCCGGGAGCGGCGGGCACGGCGAGGGAGGCGCCGGCGGCGGCGGCGGCGACGTCGTCCTGGAGGTCTCCAGGGGCCCGTCTCGATTCCTCGGGGGGCGATGCTCTGACTGTTCCTGGGCATGTTGGAGCATGTCTGAGCATGTGTCATCTCCCGTCCAAGAAGTCCGCCTGCAGGGGGGCATGCCCGACCCAAGGCCAGACGTGACGTGGAGGAGGGGGCCCAGGACCGCAGGACAGCGGCCCCACACAGGGGGCCCTCGGCTGCGACCGTGGGCCCCCCAAGAGGGGGAGCGAGAGGCGGGCGGTGGACACCCATGCCAAGAGTGCCCTGGCAGGGCTCGTTGCGATGCCTCCGATGCGATCCGGTTCGGTGTCGGTGGCTTCCGCTTCCGATTGGGTCCGGCTTCGGGCTCCGATCTGGGGCCCGATTTCTCAGTGGAGGCCTACCAGCCTGCCGATGTCTGCCGATTCGACTGTTCCCGACTCGGCTGCCGATTTCCGCCGACCCGCCTCATTTCGATCGCCGATCCGACTCATCGATTCGAGTCTGGGCCCTCCTGGCTCGCAGAGGGGGGGGGTGTTCCAAGGTGGGGGCAGGGATCGGCGGCGAGCGAGGGGGGGGGGGGAACGAGCAGGGGCGGGCCCTTCTCAGAAGGCTCGGAAGTCCCCCGGCCTTCTGGGAAGTTGTCCAAGCTTTCGCCCCCGAGAGACAGGACAAAAACTTCTCTGAAGGCGCGAGGGCTTTTCTGAGAAGTCCCGCCGCCTTCTGAGGAGGCCTTCTTCTTCTTCTCGTTCCCCCCCCTCGCTCGCCGCCGAAGGGAGCGAAGTCCGGCTGGATGCTCACATGTCCGTCTTCCAGGGGCCGCCGAGGGCGAGGTCCTGCCCCTGCCCCACCTCTGCCGCGTCGGCGGCGACCCTGAGATCCTGGCGTCTCAATGTCGTTCGAGCCTGGCGTTTTCGCTTTTTTGTTCGGGCCCCAGGACCCTCGCAGGCCCCAGGACCCTCGCAGGTCAGGACCCTTCTCCCTCTCACTTCCTCCTCTCGCTCGCCGCCGAACCCAGACCAGCATGAGACCTGGCCCTCCCGGGGGGGCTGCGAACGGCGCACCCGTCGTCACTTCGATGGGCTCCTGGGAGGCCCCGCGGAGCGACGTCCTCGTCGGATCGGAAGGAGGCCTCGCCCTCCCGGGGAGCGGCAAACTTGCAATTGTCGCCTCCCCTGTTGACGTTGTCCTTCCTTGTTTCGGGGGTGTGGCCGGACAGTTCGCCCTTCGGTTGCCCCGGATAGCCACACGCTGGAGCGGGTTGCCTCTGCCTCGCCGCCACGGGAAACTGTTCCGGGGGCTGCTAAAGGTGCCCCGGACCCAAGGTGCCTCCAATTTTTCGCTCCATTTGGGAGCTCCTGGGGCCCTCTGGGCCTCGTGAGGGTTGCTCTGGAGGCCGTGGGGGGGTCTCCTTGGGAAGCCGGGGGGCTCCCATTGGGCCATGGGCACCTCTAGCAGATCCCGAGCGTTAGTCTTGCTAGCCCCTGTGAGCCTTGCAGCGCGCAAGTTTCCCATGTACGTGAATGTTCCCTGAAATCGCGTTCCTTGTCATGTCCTCCGTAACCAAAAAGCTTTTTCAGGTCACTTGTTGCAAAGGTAGGTGCGTCGAATGGAAATGTTACTCTTTGGGGGCCTCCGCTTGGGACTTGAGACCCCCCGTCGCCACGGCTGGATGCGCCTCCAAAGTCCCAAATTCAGGCTCCGCCGAGGGGGTCCCTGTACACTGCTAGAAGGGACCGGTAAGTGCAGGGCCATGTTGCCTCGTCGACGTTGGCCCGGACCCCTGTGGGTTTCTCGGCGCTTTGCATAAGAAGGCCGCTCCCAGCGTTGCCCCCGGTTCTTCGGCGTCGTGCGGCAATGTCACGCGACGCCAAGCAGCGCCAAGCAAGGCCAAGAAATGCAAAGCAATGGCAAGCAACGCCAAGCAACGTCGAGCCACCTCAAACAACACTAGACAACGTGGGGCAAGGCCCAGTCAATGCCACGCAAATCCAAGCAACGCAAAGCAAAGCCCAGCAATACCCAGCAAATGCAAGCAATGCCAAGGAACGCCAAGCAAATCTAAGCAGTTCCAAACAATGCGTTGTACCGTATCCGCTCGCATTGCTGAGAAATGAATTGAATGCGTTAGATGACAGAAGACACCTGGTTGGGGTCACGTGCAATTCATAATGTTAAGACCGCGTTCTAAGAGAGGTAAAGAGCAGATGTTGAGGGAGTCTGGGGGACGAGGAGGAGGCGGAGTGGGAGTCCCTCTTCCCAGGGCTCGAGATAAACGGTGCTTTTGCGTTTTCGTGGGCCGGTTCCGTTGTGAGTACGTTTTGCAGCACAGGCAGAACGAGACGGAATGAAGGAAAAATAAAATTAAAAACATTGTTTAGTGCGAGTGCGAGGAGTGCACGCTCGACTGCGAGTGCACCGCCGGAGTGGGCAGAGGGAGCAGGGGAAGACAGTGGATGGGGAGGGGGGGGAGGAGGGGGAGGAGGGAGGGAGCACTCTCTGTTACGTCGCAGCGCTCTACGTCGACGCACCTCGCCATGTGAGTGCCCTCCCCTCCCCCCCCACTCGCGGCCGCTTTCGCCTGTCGCCCCCTTCCTGCCGCAGGTTATTTTGCGCATTCCGTTGTCCGGACCGCCTGAGCGCGCGTGCGGGTTGCCTCTCTGACGCGCAGAGGGGAGAGGGAGGAGCAGAGAGGAAGAGCACGGTCGATGGGGGGTTCTGAACACCGTCTCTTGGAAGTCGTCGGGGCCTACCGGGGCCGAGAAGGATGAGGAGAGCGGGAGACGGCGGAGGCGGTGGATGTGGTGGAGGTGGAGGTGGCGCAGCAAGACGGCGATGTGAGGAGGTGGAGTTGGTTGAGGAGGGGGGGGAGATGAATTGGTAGAGGCGGCTAGGAGGTTTGAAGGCCCGAGAGGAGGAGGACATGGGGGAGAACGAGGTGGTGGAGAAGGGGGAGGAGGAGTGAAGAAAAGAAAGGAAGAGGCGGAGTATTTGGGAATAGGAGGTGGAGGAGGAGATGGAGGTGGAGGGTGAGGTAAAGATGAAGAAGGTTGCTGTTGTGACTGCCTTGATTATATTGCTCAGGGTCGCGAAGCCACTGCGAGAGACGCGACAGCGACCTGTTAGATACCTCTTGTCGAAGGGCAATTCGAGGCAAGCCGATGCAGCTCGATCTGAGCAGACCAGGACGAATCGAAGCATTCGTCCAGATACATCCAGATAGATCGTGGGAGCTCGGGCGCGGGTCGAGGGACAGCAGAAGACGTTAAGCCCATGACGACAGTTGAGGTCATTAACATGTGCCACGTCGAGAAGGCTCCTGACCCGCCGGACTTCTTCGAGATGAAGGCGGGCCGGCCCCGCCGGCGGCGGGGCAGCGCGTGCCGTTCGCTGCGCAGGGAGGAGACAGTAGCGACGACGACGTCGGTAGCTGTAGTGGCCACGGCGCGGATGTGGACGAAGGTGCGGGTGAAGGTCAAAGGAGGGAAAGGCGCGCCAGTTTGGGCCTCCTGGGAGGCCTTCTTGGGCCTCCTGGGAGGACAAGCTGCCCTCCCCTCGGTTTCCCCTTCTTGTTCCTCGTTGGAGGCCCTCGCCGGGGACGCTGGATTCGCCTCGAAGTCCTGGCCAGAGCGCACCCCGGGAGAGGTCTTGGGAGAAGCGGTAGTGCTGCTTTTTGGTTCCCGCATCCCGGACGGGAACCGAGTAGATGGGGTCGGAAATTCGTGCCGCATCGTTGATGCATCACCGATGCATCGGCGATGCATCCGCGAAGTCGGCGGTGCAGCGGCGCCGGGCGCGTGGAGAACATCGGGCTCCACCTCGAACCGCACCGCCGAGGCACCGGCGTTTCGACACTTTTCCGACGCCGGGAGTTCTTGTTGCCATGGTCAGGAGGGGGAAAGACACACAGACACAAGTAATCGCCGATTCTCCAGAAGATCTGGGAACATATGGGAAGTGGTGGGGAAGACGAAAACCCAGAAAATATTTGAAAATAAGGGGATTCCTGTTATTTGTGTGTATTTATCCATCGGTCGTTGAAAGTAGGTATCTTTGGATTCCCAGATTCTAATCTACTTTCAGCGCCTTCCTACTTCAAGAGTCGAGTGGTTGTCCCTCTTCCCTCCTCTTCAGGAGGCGGGCGGAAACTCAATCTACTTTCAACGCCTTCCTACTTCATGTTTCTACCTACTTCTTCCGACCGATGGATGGGTATTTGTGTGTCCCAGGGCCCCTTCACATGGGCCCGGGCTCCCACACCGGGAGCCGGTGCCGTTGTGGCCGCACGGCAGCGCATGGGCTGCCCGGGCGGTTTGTGCTTCCCGGCCTCGGGCTCCTCGTCTGCTGCGGGTGTGCCCCCTTGCCCTCGGTGTCCTCTCGCTGGGGAAGAAAGATTGTCGGGCCGAACGAAAGGGGGGGGATTGGGAGAGGGGGGGTGACGAAATCTGCTGCACGCAGCTGGTTTCGGCCCCGCCGCCGGGCCCATTCCTCGATACATGGGCGCCTCTGGCGCCGCGAGGCGCCGGGAGAATCAGCTACGCGAGCTGATTCTCAAACCCCCCCTTTGTTATCCCCCCCTTTCGCCCGACCCGAGATTGGGGGTGGGCAGGACCCCCACCCTGACACGTCGATTGATGAATTGTCCGTGTTCGGTTCTCGAGAGGGCGCCGCGCCAGATTTAGGCCCCGGGTCGTTTTCATTGAGCCACGTTTTACTAGAGGGGGTGCTGTCCATCACCGAGGGAAAAATACGCATAAACATAAACTATTACAGGTCCGCGCGGATTTCTAAGAGCTGCGGTGGCCCCCCTCGGCGGCTCCTCCTGGGCTCGGCCCAGATTCAAGAAAACCGCGCGGACCTCCAACAGTTTATGTTTATGCAGTTTCTTGTTCCTCTATGCTCTCTCCCTTTTCCCTCTCCCCCTCCCGTCAGCACCGCGCCCCGCCCCG